GGAAACGCATTCAGAGCATGCCACATGGGTTAGGATTTTTCAAAGGGAATGTTTATGGGACGGCCATTTTCGCTGTGAGTGAGGCCTGTTGTGCTTCGAATCTCAGATTTTTACACAGCAGCGGCTCATCATATTCATCTTCAAGCATCCAGTTTCACAGTCTGCGCGGGTCTAAGACGTTCCATTCCTGATTTAGATACGAATGGCCATGGCCATCAAGGCTTCTGGATGATGTTCTGAACCCGGAGAAGCGCTTGGCTTCGGCACTTCTGGCCAACATCTTCGGATCAATCGATCAATCGATTTGGGGATGGGTCGCAGGGTCGCAGCTGCGGGACGATTGGTTCTTTTCCCCCCAAACATTCAGACTCAGAATGGTATGTGCCAGCTATTTTACATCAACATCTCCTTCCTTAAATCAGGGAATCCCCACTTGAATCCACTTGATGTTTTTGATGGAGTATCTTTGGAAAAAAAACACCGTTGGAAGACATTGGAACAATAGGTCCAACATGGTTTTGCAGACTCCCATACTTTGTTCTAGATATCATGTTACCCATGTTTCTATATCACCATGATTGTCCTGCAGGTGGCACCTGTTGACCCATTCCAAGCTTTACGAAATCCTCGGGATGCGACGTTTGAAGTCCCCTTTCAAGTCACGGCATTCATCCCAAAGCTTGGAGAGATGCTGACAGAGGGAAATAGAAGCAGCAATCAATGGGGATTTAACAGTTTGCCATGGAAAGATCCACCATGCTGTTAATAGGTAAACCATCTATTTCTATGGGCCATGGCTTAACCATGGTGAACTGTTAGTCATAACCAAAGGGTAGTTTTTTTTAAAAAATGGGGGTTTCGGTGGGGTTTAATATGGTTTAATATGATTTAATGGAATTGAATGGGAGATAATGGGAGATATGATCAACTTGATATGATATTTGGGTGTCAGAAAATGGGGGTATACCACCCTCAAATGGCCGATTTAAATAGGGACCCCATTTTCAGATGAGCCAATTTCCTGACTGAACAGGTTCAACATGTATATCGAACTGGTTTTTCGTCATTGTTGTGAAGGAGACACTTCTTCCGCGCCCACGGAAAACACATGGATGACCGCTGGCTTCTTGGGATCGAAGCCTAGGTTCTTGAGGAAGAACTCAGGCCTTGAAGTAGCCAACAACTGCTAAGATTTTTCGGAATTTGTGGCAATTTGTATGGGGAAAAGAAGATTTAAAGACAAGCCCAACGACAGAAATGACGATTGCAACTGATGTTTTTGTGAGGAATTTTCGAAAAAACGGATGGTACCTCAATTCGTGACCCTCCTATTGTGACTCAGCAGCTGATTTTCCAATCGATCCAACATGGCCGCAGAAGAAATGGAGGACACTAGCGAAAGAATCGCATCATATCGCAAGAATCGCAAGAATCGCAAGATTGGTCCAGTTCTTCGAATTTTTCATGTCATAAAAAAACAAAAGATCTTAGATCTCAATATAGACATCTCTAGTAATGTATGCAATGGCTACAGGGTCCACCATTGGGTCCACCAGCTGGACCATGTTTCCTTTCGGATTTCACAAAGTTTCAGCTTTCCTGATCTCCAGCGAAGGATGAGCACGAAACTGAGGATGACGATGGTGACGAGGCTGGGAGCACTTCTTCGTGGGAAGCGGGTGGATCGATTTACCCAGATAGTATGATAATAAAACATAGTGAGGAATGAGAGTAATCATATGGTATAAATTCAGAAGAACAATAGTGACATATCTAATAATACTACCGCTGCTGCTACTGCTACACCTACTGCTACTGCTACTATTATTACTACTATTATTATTACCAGTTAGTAGTAGTAGTAGTAGTAGTAGTAGTAGTAGTGGTAGTAGTAGTAGTAGTGGTAGTAGTAGTAGTAATAATAGTAGTAGTAATAGTAGTAGTAGTAAGGAAGTAAGGAAGTAAGTAAGGTAATAGTAGTAGTAGTAGTCGTCGTCGTCGTCGTCGTCGTAGTGGTCGTAGTAGTCGTAGTAGTCGTAGTAGTCGTAGTAGTCGTAGTAGTCGTAGTAGTCGTAGTAGTAGTAGTAGTGGTAGTAGTAGTAGTGGTAGTAGTAGTAGTAGTAGTAGTAGTAGTAGTAGTATGTAGCAGTAGTATTTAGTAGTAGTACGTAGCAGTAGTATGTAGCAGTAGTATGTAGCAGTAGTAGCATTAGTAGCATTAGTAGCAGTAGTAGTAGCAGTAGTAGTAGTAGCAGTAGTAGTAGTAATAATAGCAAGAATGACTATGGCAATGGCAATGATAACAATAATGACTGCTCGTGCCATTGATTGCCATTATTACAATTATTGTTATTATTAGTGCGGACTGGTCGTGTTCCCATTTTCATCATGCTCCACAGCTTGGCTGATTTTGTTCGGGCCATTTTGTACACATCACTGTGTTTTCAGGCAAATCGTGCCAAGTCTCACATGTGGCAAACCAGAGGGAGAAAAAACAAACTTAAGGACTTAGAAAGTCAAAATCGCCCTTACTGTACCTCGTTTTGAAATTGAATAGGGAATAATGTACTGGTTGGTGGTTCGGAACATGAATTTTATGTTTCCATATATTGGGAATAATAATCCCATTTGACTTTCATATTTTTCAGAGGAGTAGGGTTGAAACCACCAACCAGATGTATTTGGGTAAAGCAAAAATTGCAGTCCCGGCCAATTTAACCGGATGGATTCTCAAAGCCATTTCTGGTTTTCCATTAGGGCCATGTCTGATCGGGTTTAGCACATTGACCATGAACATCCACGAAGTTATCACCAGTTTCTTAAACATTTCGGGACATTCTTCAGCAGGGATGCTGTGGAGATCATGTGATGTGGGAAAGCTTCATTCGGAAAATCCATCAGACATATTTCATATTAATTTCCATAGGTTTCTGTGGTTTTTGTTGCTGGGATAAGTTGTTTTCCATAGATTTCTTTTAAAAATTTACCCTCTGGTAAACTAACATAGCTATGGAAAATCACAATCTTTAATAGGTAAATCAACTATATATAGATGTGCCATTTTCAATAGCTATGTTAAATTTTCAATGTGCCATTTTCAATACCTTGAGGTTGGTACTTTATTAAAGACACCATGAAATCTCGCGACGCATCCTGGTTCATTTGGATCCCAAAATGGGATCACACGATCAGCGGTGTATGTCAGTTATGTTGCCGGAGCGTTAGGGAGCTGGGAATAGACATCTTTGTTTGACATCTGAAAATACATGAAAATTTAAGGTAATTCTCCCAATTTTTTGATGCTTTAAACTAAAAAAACTTGAAAGTTTCCACGATTGAAAAACAAAGACTATTGGCACTTGCCACACTTTCAGATACTTATTTTCCACACATTGTTGATCGCCCTGATCATGGCTCCCTCTCTATGTGGATATACATGTATGTATGTATACATGATGCCATTTCTGCGGCATCAATTCTTTTGACGACAAGCAATGATTGATGGTTTGATATGGTTTTACGGAGGTGTTTTTCCTGTTTTTTTTTATGCTTTTATAGGCCTTTTTCACAGGATTTACGGTTTGAAATGGTTTATACCCAATAATTGATCATCACCAATGATGGTTTCATATGGTTTATACCCCTTTTGTTCATAAATCAATGTCTGGTTGCGCACAGGGGTTTCCCTGTGAAATGTCCCGAAATTTCGGAGTCAGGAGCCCAATGAGCTGGTTGGATACCTGGAGGACAGGAAGTGAACTCTGATTTTTTCCAGTGGGTCGTCCCCAAATTGAAGTATGTGATATATATATATAGAGTTACATATATGTATATATATATATATACAATTATATATATATAATTATATAGTATATATATATTGACACACATAAAAATCATTATAAACATGTGTATATATATATATGTATATACTTATACACATGATACAAATAAATAAGATAGATATATACGTAAAAATCAGAAAAATATATATGTACACATCACACATATATATATATATATCATATTCACACATTTCCAGTAACTTGTTCCACTTTTTCGCTATTTTTGTTGGTAACTCTTCCCAATCTTTGGTGCCATCTTTGGCCCCATTACCCTGCGGACGTGGCGGCGCCAATTGACAGCAAGGTGCCAGACTCAGATGATTCGGGTGCCAAACTCTACCAGGGGATTTGTTACAACGGGATCTACCCCCAATAAGTGACATACCCTCTGGTAATTTGTTACATAGCTATTGAAAATGGTGATTTATAGTGAGTTTTCCCATTGAACATGGTGATTTTCCATAGTTATGTTAGTTTACCAGAGGGTAGTCAACAAGAAACCATGCCCAATGACTTACCAGAAGTTGGTAGCATAGTATAAATCATTCCCGAGGAACACTTTTTTTCGTAAAATTGACGTAGCGAAGTGGAAAATCACCATTTTTAAGTTTGATAAATCATTATAATTCATCTATAAACGGGGCATTTTTTCCTTCAGCTATGTTAGATCACCAGAGGGTAACCACCAGGAGTTGTTTTCCTTTTTCTTTCCAGGAGGAGTTTACTAAGAAGAATGAGAACGGGGATGAAAAGGAGCAAAAGATCGGGGTCCTTCACCACCAAAAACGAGGATTACAAACATGTGATTGCAACAACCCATAAATGCAAAATCGTCTTTTTCCATCCTGTACATATAAATGTTGCGACCTCACATGTGGGTATCCAATTTTGATCCATTCGTAGAATGTGGGCTTTAATCATGTTCAACTCGCTAAATAGTTCGATTTTTTTCGCCAGCAGGGGTAGAAGATGATTGGGCAGCCATTGGATCGAAGACCCCAAAGGGGTGTGAAACGCGATCCAAAGAGCACTGATTCCAAAAAAGAAAGGTCAGCTCTCTCAATGCTTGATGCTTCGAAGCAATCTTCACAAGTAAAACACATTTTTCAACACCAGTCAATGAGTAAAACAGCCAATTCTCCCAGTATTTCTAGATCTTTCTTCTCGTCGCAAGTCAGTTCTTCGAAGATTCGACGCGCTTGGATCCTGGGGTGCGACGCAATGGAGGCATTGCACATTGATTACATGTGGTGCTGGGTGCTGCACCTAGGCATGTGCCACAAGCACCTATCAATGGCAGTGCACTGGTATGGGATGTATATATTTGTGTACATCCAATGTAGTACGCCTAGTACATACAATTCATTACAAATCTACAGCAGATGCCTATGATTTTCTACATTTTTATACATGTTTCTTTCATCCAAATCTACAAGCATTCTTTGGTCCCCAACTATACATTCTGAATTTCTCGGCCCTGCCAGGCCAATCGAACAATGTATCCTGGAGAGCTATCACCAGGAAGCGGCTGGCGTTTGGTGACCCAACCTGAAGCGATGATGTGGTGGGAACCATTGAACGGCATCACGGACAACAACAAAACTTGGCATAGAATGGAAATCAAATGGATATCGGGATACACTGTAAGGCGGATGTTTAACATTGTTTAACCATATTTTCCATTTTTGGTAGAAAAACATGCCATTTAGAAGGTCTCATTTGTAGTTGTGCATCCATCGGGCGCTTCATTGATTCAAGCAATCTCAGTGAGTATCATCCCATGAGATTTGAGATCCAGGGGTCTCCGCTTACTAGCACCCAAACTGGGTTGACAATTGGGGATGGTGACCAAAAAATGGTAAAAAAAATGTGGATCTCACATTTTGCAACCTGAAAAAATATCCTCAGATGTGAAAAACATCGTTTTCAGAGATCAGCCCTGTGGCTGGATGTAGCTGGTGTTCTTCCCGGCAGCATCATCCTGGGGGTCATCAATAGCTGTGTTGATACAATAGCTGGATCAGTCAGAAGCATCACCGCATAATTCGACATTTCAATCATTTCACATCTCTTGACTTCAACTTCACAACCCTTCGAAAAAAAAAAACATGCCCAACTTTACAACCAGTTTGGATCAATATTTACCCCAAGTTGAGTCATTGGTTTGGACGCTTCCCCTTTTTTTCCCCGGTCACAATGGTCCCAGTCTGCCCAGATCGGAGCAGACTCAGCGATGCCACTTGGCGGACTATGGGAAAAATTGCCAGATGGGAAGCAGCGGTACTTTTTTGACTCAAAAAAATAGATCAAACATCAATGGGAATTTCGGGATCCGAATATATGGTAGGTACCTCCAATTTAGGTTCCGAAAATGGCCATTGAAAACATCCCAGTTGTAAGGAAAACATAGGAAAGAACTTGATTCTTGATTCTTCCAGCATTTGAGATCTTGCGTATGAGGTCGTGAGGTTGGTAACCTTCAAATCCGCTAGGATTGGATGAGTTCTAAGTCTGCATCAACATTTCATAGTCTGCGCAGTCAAACTTTTTGGCACCCGATTTCCCACTCTGGGGTCATTGGCGGAAAAAAGGCACTATGATGATAAAGGCGATTTTTTCGGAGTCAAAACCTGGTTGGTGGTGGCTGGAACATTTTTGATTTTCCATTTCATATATGGGATGTCATCCCAACCCCATTGACGAACTCCATCATTTTTCAGAGGGGTGGCCAAAAACCACCAGAAACTGTACATAGCCCAAAATACTGTACCTTCCTGGGAGGACCAATTTTGCAAAATGCAGTTCTTTGGGCCTGAAATTTTGGACAGAAATATCCACATGATCCACGAGCTGAGGACTTTTCGCTGTCACCCAACAGCAGAGTGCTGGCCCCAGTGGACCACAATAGACCTAGACATAACTAGACAGAAAACCAACCAATTGATCCTTCCAGTCCTTTTTTTGATTTAGTTTTTTTTTTCATCGATAGATCATCCATATTCAGAATTCACATGGGTATGGGTCAATACCTATAGATACCATTTTTAGTGGGATGAACATCCATAAATCCCAGCTATTTTGGGGTTCACTAGGTACCAGGGTTTTGACCCATCCCCACATTCGAATATGTTCGTTTCAATCTGTGAAGACTCGTTGTGTCACTGGTACGACTCGCCTCAGCTGATCAGCCGATGATTTTTCCGGAGTTGGTGGAGCCCGACATCCATCAACGAGAAGGTAGATGGTAGATGTAGACAAGATGTAGATATAGATGCTATTAATGATGCTATATATATATGTATATATATAGAGCCATCTATCATTAATATAGATGGTATTAATGATATCATATATGCTATATATGCTATAGATATAGATGCCATATATAATATCCCTTTTCAACCCAGAATATCTGAGAGTTCCCCTGGTGAGACCACCATGCGCTCCACGGGTGGCTTCTCTTTCGCCAGCAATCGCACTATGGGTGGCTCGGTCTGGTGGGGATGACTAGGGGGATGAAGATCGATGTGAAAACCAAGGTCTTGAGTTATAAAATAGTGGATTTACCCATTGAAAATGGTGATTTTCCATCGTTTTTTGTATGTTATACCCTCTGGTAAACGTTTACATAACGAACTGGAAAGATCCACCATGCTATTAGTGGGAAAACTCACTATTCTATGGCCATTTTCAATAGCTTTTTGTATGTATACCAGAGGGTAAGTAGAAGAACATAGTTCTGGAATTGTAGAGGAACCATTGTTTGAAGCCATGTTTGTGAAAACCAGGGTCTTTATATTTTTTTTTGGGAGGTGTAGGGGATTAACAGATGGGATCAGATGAGATTTTGCAAGCTGCCGTAAGATTCATGGTCCCAGCTGCAACGTTACAACCAATCCGGAGAAACTGAACTTTGACAAACTAATGTGGTCTGATTCAGAACTTGATCTTCATGAACTATATAATCCAATCAGATTCGTGAACTGTTTATTTGCTCAATATATATATATATATATATACATACATAATACATATATATGATAATACATATGTATATATATATATATGATAATACATACAATATATAGATAATATGTATAATATATATAATATATATAACATTATATATATGATATATGTATTATAGTATATATATACACATCACATTATATATATATATATACATGTAATGTATATATATATACATACATGATATACATATATCACCATTTTTAGTGGTTCAATCCCGATTCTATCTCATTGTTGTTGATTCAATCTCCACGTTGGAGTGCTAAAAATCCCACGTGTTTTCCTGGTGAACTTGACATTTTCCTGCTGTTTTACCAACTGCGCGTGTCAGGGGGCCGGATTCAGAGCGCTCCCTTGCTGCACTCCACGGCAGCACCTTCCGTGGCCAGCTGGTGCCCTGCAGGGTTGAAGCGACCGCATTAAAAGAACACCGGTTGATTAGCTAAGTCGTTGGTGAGGGATTAGTATGGGAACCTGACTGGAACATTGGTTTAGTATGGGATAATGATGGTTAATAATGGTTAAGAATGGTTAATCATCACTGGTTGGTGGTGACTGGAACATGGCTTTTATTTTTCCATTCAGTTCCCAACTGACTTTCATATTTTTCACAGGGGTTGAAACCACCAACCAGATAGGTTGTTATACTAGCTAATAGTTGGTTGATAATAGTTGGTTGAATTAGTGGGTTGTTGATAGTTGGGTTTTTATAGTACACGAGTGGAATGGTGCTTATGATAGAGACTTATACGAGCTAATTTACTGGGGATTGTGATAACCCATAGGATTGGGAAAGCTATGAACCAATGAGATGGGATAGGGGTACTGAAAGCAGTGGCTTTATTGGAAATCCCCCTATACTTGGAGCTTTTCATGGGAAATTCAACTAGAAATGATGGAAATTTGTCATGGAACATCCACCATAAAAAGGCCACGGTGATTTTCGCGTTCACGGCCATGGGGATGTCCCAAACACTGACGAGCCATGGAGGGTAACCAGCAGGTTTTGTGGTGTTTAGCCCTTGGCTCGAGCCGAGCCAACGAGCCCCAGCCATGAATCGCCTGGGCCCCCGAACTTACTGAACTTATGACTAACAGTTCGCCATGGTTAAGCCATGGCCTATAGAAATAGACGGTTTAGCTATTGAAAATGGTGGATCTTTCCATGGCTATGTTAGTCATAACCAGATGGTAGATGGAACTTAGTGGGATATATAATCAACTTGATATGATATGGGGGTGCCTGAAAACTTGCTATAGCCCCCGAATGGCCATCAAACAAATAGGGATAATGATTAATAATGCGTAATGATGATGCAATAACCCATGGATTCTTCATTGTTTTCAAAGAAAGGATTAGACAAAGACATACGGCATTTTCTCCATGATCAGCACTGGTAGATTTTTTTCCTGTCAACAGTTCTGAGAACGATTGATACTGGATAGTCTGGTGAAACAGCCATCCTTTATTTTACCCTCTGGTAAACTAACATAACTATGGAAAATCACAATTTTTAATGGGACAACTCACTATTTCTATGGCCATGTTCAATAGCGAACTGTTAGTCATTGCCAGGCCGGGTAAGTGTCCACAAAATCCTGCCTTGGATTGATCATCTTACTGGTGCGTGCTGAACGCAGGGAACAGGGAATGTTTGGGCAGGGCCCCATGTAGATCCCCTGTTGTCTGCAAGGTGGTGCTATAAGCCCAGTAAGTTGATTTATAACCCCCATTTAATCCCCATTATATATATATGACTATAGAACTTACTATAGATATCTACATCATAAAATCCATATCCACCATAAACCATCGTTGAACCGACTTTATAAACTTAGCTATGGCAAACCCCCCACATTTTAGGTAACATTTCTTATTCGACGCCAGGTACACCAAAGGTGCTGCCTGGGCCCCTGGTTGAGCGGCGTGAAAAACCGGGGGACGCCTGAGATAGATGGGCGTGACACAGGACATGATGCTACAATTGGAGTGATGAACATATATATATATATATTTATATACATATAATAATACACACTTATATGAAATTATCTACAACTATATAGTTGTATAGTGTTATATATATATATATATACACGTACTATATTCATAATATAAATATCAATATATATATATATATATACACGACATAATTATTGATAATTCAATAAAAATAACGTGTATCTATATAATTATGAATACATATATATATATAATGTGTAATTATATACATCTCCAGGACCAGGGCCCCTAATCACTGGAAAATCTGCGATGGAAATAAGGAAATGATGTCACTAGTAAGTTGAATCATCCCTGAAGAATGATGGTTAGTAGGGGAAATATCCCAAAACAACCGAACATTTCAGGTTGATGAAGTATTAATCCAGATTACTGATTCTACAGGCTTGTCCAGACTTCAACGATCTTTTTCGGGGCTGCTGCACCATAGTATGCCTGGATTGTCGATTGCAAATAGCAAGAGCCAGATGATTTGAAGAATCCTTCAGGTAGTTTGGTCCAATCAAGGTAGATTACCATCGTTTTCGCTGGGTTCTAGTCACCTCCGCTAGTAACCAGCTATCCCTCTCAACTTTGGGAAATAGGTTCAACTTATGCAAGGTGGTGCTCCATAGTTAGCTAAGTTGGTTCATGATGACTATATTATGGCAAATATATCTCTGCAATATATACTTGATTGGGCTTATTGTGAACTTAAAGTTGGTGGGCAAAACCTGGCGGATACAGAAGCCATTTTGCTTCTGGCTTCAACCTCCCCAACTTGGAGTCTGTGTTCTTGTTTATGTTGGTTAAGCCAAATACTTGTTCTTGTATGTGTTTGCGAACATATTTTTTAGCAGTGTTAGCATCCAGACCTGACGACTTTCAGGAATTTGGATTCATTATAATCCACTTGACAATCAAGGACCTCGGCTTTAATCATTCTCGATTTTCAGGATAAATTATATATATATATAGTCCCGTGTCCCGTGTTCCCACCCCCCCACGGACGGGTCCCCAGGTAGCACCCCCTTCCCTTCTATTTGCAAGCTATTGGCAGCATTTCTGAGGTCCAGCCTCGTATTTGCTAGGTCTTTGCAGCATTTCTGACTACCAGCCACACATGCACACATACAAACATACATACAGTACGTACGTACGCACATACCATACCATACCATACCACACCACACCATACCATACCATTACATGCATTACATGCATTACATGCATTACATACGTTACATACATTACATACATTACATACATTACACACATTACATACATTACATACATTACAAACACATACATACATGCATGCATGTGTATGCATGCATACATACGTACGTACTTACATACAAACACCCCACCACCACAGGCCACAGCGGGAACCATAAGAAGCAAGACTGAACACCCATCCCCATTGGGTGGGTGCTGGCCGACGCTGAACCACCACGGATTCGATGGAACCGCCAGGCCACTGGCACGACGAACCGTGCCTGGAAAGCCTTGGGCTCGGCCTACCGTGATGTGGACGTGGGATGCACCCAGCCCGCCGAAATTTCGCGTGATCAACGCCTGGTCGTTGAGTTCTGAAACGGGGGCATTTCAGCGATTTCATCATGATTTCTAGGGTTCTATGAGGGTCTGTGATGTTCAATGATGTTGTATGATGTTCTATGATGTTTTTTGATGTTCTATGATGTTCCACTATGCCCTATGTTTTTTTTTGATGTTCTATGATGTTCTATTATGCCCTATGGTGTTTTTTTTTGATGTTTTTTTTTTTTTAAATGTTCTATGATGATTTTTGATGTTCTATGATGTTTTTTGATGTTCTATGATGTTCTATCTAATATTTTTTGATGTTCTATGATGTTTTATGTTGTTTTATGATGATACATGACGGTGGGTTGATGTGTTTTTTTTGGTTATTCATCCAATATTAATTGGATAATTGGGGACTATCATCATTAATTAATGAACTGGGAATCCTGTTCTTGACCAGCCAGTAGAGCTGGGGATGACAGTGTTTTCGAATACTGTTTAATTCTAATGTAATATGGTTATAACAATGTGGCAATAGTATGTAAGGTAATAGTAGTATGATTTACTCTAAGGATTTCGAAGTAGTTGGTTTACAATCTTGTTCCCAATTATACTAATTATATCTAATTATACTAGTAAATGTCTACAGTAATTCTGCAATCTACTTCTAATTTGTGTTTGATCATTGTTTGGGGGGATGAATCAAGAGCTGCGAAAGGTGCGATTTTGATGTAAAAACCAGGGTTAATTTTTTGACCCCTCTCCAGCTGTGACAATGGGTGGAAACTCCACTTCTAACCGATGCTGCGAGTTTTTTTTTCAAGAAGAAGGCCTCTGGCTCTCTGTGCCAGTTGTAAAACTAGGTTCAGGTCGAATGATGTCGAAGTACTCAAAGGTTGTCATCCGGATGAGGATGGGTCTGTTCCTCCACATCCGCCCAACAATCCAGAATTTACGGATCTCCAGATGAGAGTTCCAGTCAAGACGCCACATTTCGTGGGTGTTTCTTGAAGCTGGGGGTTTCTCTGGGGTTGGATCGCCGAAGTACAGCACGTACCACAGATCACAGGAATTTGGATCGTCTCAGTTCTATTCGGTTGCCAACAGTTGGATCAGTACCCCCCCAGTACTATCAGTACCTCCGAAAAGAATACAACAGCGGCTAGATTCAGCTACTGTGGATGGGCCAGCGAAATCCTGCACCACCTGGGATGGTAGAAAACCATAGAAAACCATAGAAAACCATAGAAAACCATAGAAAACCATAGCAAACCATAGAAAACCATAGAAAACCATAGAAAACCTATAAATCATGGGATAAATAATGGGATAAACCACCTATTACCTGGTGATTCGGATTTCGCAGCCATCCACAGTAGGCCCCAACCCCAGGAGCTTCGCAATGCGACTGTCGAGGATGCCAGCGACAGGCGGATAGTACCACGATCTCAAAAAAAGCCATCAACAATACGAAAAAAGTAGATATAGTATATCAATGTATATCATCTATTTTTCACATAGCCATCTGCATACCGTGGCTATGTAACAAATAACCAGAAGGTAGCTATTGAAAATGATGACCTATAATGACCTATATATTTGTATGTATCTGTGGTGGTGAACAGGGTAAGGCTCCCATGACACAAACTTAAAAAGATCCGTACTGAACCACTGAACCAGATGGGATTGTCTAAAAATAGGGCACCCCATTCAATCCATTAGTGCCGTATTGTTGGTTATACAGTTATACCATTCAAGCCCACGAACTCCTACTAAATCGCATGAAATCCTACCAAATCCCCTTCTAAATCCCCTGAAATCTCACCTTTTTGATTGCTGGAACCGCAGGCGCGACTTCATTGATGGCTTGGCAACGGCCCCGGAGTACCCGACAAACTTCGATAGAGAGCAAGTGACCTATGAAGAAAATGGTGGATTTAACCATGTTTAACCAACAAACATGGTGGTTTATGGTGGTTTATGCCAACTTGAGATTTAGATTTCATCAAGTTAGCTATATGAAACACCATGTTTTACACCATGTTTTTTGCCATTTCTTTGGGCATGCACCTGGATGATCCCTAGCTATTGCTGTTTTCAAACCCCCAAGGGGATCAGCTTTCCGGGAGCCGTGAGGTGCCGAATTGGAGCAAAGACACCGTGATGCGAATGAAGGGCATGCGTGGAGACTCGTGGATTTTTTTTCCGCGGAGCGATCATAGCTGGCTGGTTGAAAGATGTTTCAAACATGACTTTTATATACTTTTATTTTCCAATATATGGGATAATCCCAACCCCATTGACTTTTTTTCTGGTTAAAACCGCCAACCAGAAAAAAAATGCATTTGAACAATCTGAGCAGAACTTAATTCATGATGATTCATGGTTTACACAAATTTGATACCTGTGTTGATGTTTTGATAAAACCAGTCTGTTTCAAGGTTTCCTAAGAATTCCGAATTGGAATTTAGGCATGGTTATTGGGCTCACCATGCTGAGTACATGATTTTTTTGAACGCTTTGAAGTAGCCATAGCTGTGGGTGATTCTTTTAAGTGAGGCTTTTTTCACCCCGGCGCCCAGGTTGGAACACTTGATCACGTGGACTTACTACCACATCCAACGAGACGTCGGAGGCTCAGGAGTCTCAGGAGTCTCGGTCCTTAAATGGCCACCATTTCTTTGTTGGAGCATCGGGCCGAGCATCGGGCCGAGCAAAGCGACTCAGGAAAATCATCCACAACGAAAGGAGGCGGCTGGGACGCCATCAAAATCAGTAAAGACATGGACTGAGGAGATCTCAACAATTAAACATGTTCACCTGAAATATAGGCTATTTGTCTGAAATTGTCATATGGCAGTGGGTCAAAACCCTGGTACCCCTGGTGAACATCAAAATAGCTGGTAAATGGATGTTCATCCCCCTATATATGGTATTAATAGGTATTGATCCATGGTCCATACCCATATCTTAACACTTCAGATTTTGGTGTCATTTCTTTTCCCGAAGTTCTGGAGCTGGGTGTGGTCCGCAGTGGCCTTGAAAACCGAAGTGGCTTTGGACATCGTGGGGTTTAACCGTTTAACCCCCACTTTATAGCCAGTTAAGAGGGAACATCCTGATGAACCAGAGGATTTTTACATACTCTATATTATTATTGTTATTATTATTAATTATTATTATTATAGTTATTATTATATGGCTATGAGTCAAAACCCTGGGACCCAAACGGTACCTAAAATAGCTGGCTAATGGATGTTGATTGCCACAAATATGGTAATAATAGGTTTTGACCCATCCCCATATCTTTAGACAGAAGCAAGTGAACCAAACTCTTGAACCGCTTTAGACAGGATGCATCCGGACTTTTTGAGTGGCGCCATCTGACATCAGACACGGATGGTGAAGTGATGCGGCTCAAAACTACCAACCCATAGCACGTCCCCAGGAATCGACGGCTATCCTAAAGTAAACTCCATTTCTCGCAGCATTTTGAATAGGACAATCATCATTTTTATCAATATATTCATCATCTATCAAGGTCCAGGCTTTGCATCCATCATTTTTCCATAATATGTTAATCATCTATCAAGGTCCATTTTGATCATTTTGCATCGCTATCTATATATGTTGATTAACACCATTTTCTGTATATGTTCATCCCATACCCATATGCCTGCTCCATGGTGCTGGAATATTTGTTTACCAACATGTCCCCCATTTTTATCGCCCAGTTTTGTAGGTAAATATATATTATACATGGTTCGCATATTGGGGATACCCTCTGGTAAACTAACATAACTATGGAACATCACCATTTTTAATGGGAAAATCCACTATAAATGGTCATTTTCAATAGCTATGTTAGTCATTACCAGAGGGTAGTCATGGAAACACCCTGACCTCACAGCTGCTGGATCACCAGGTGGGTGAATTCCTGGATCCGAAGGCCGGACCTGAAAAAAATGGGGGACCTTGGGATGAAGATCAATGGAAACATAAAAAGCCCCATAAGAAAAGGGAGAACACGGGCCTGGCAACCTGAACCTTGGGATGAAGATCAATGGAAACAGGGAGATGAACATAAAAAGCCCCATAAGAAAAGGGAGAACGAATGATGTAACAAGCTGAAAAAATTATTAAACAGGGATGAACCCCAGTGAGCCGTGAGCCATGCCATGTTAAATTTGTCAATGAAAAGCCCTAAAAAATGATAATAGAAATGAACATAACAACAGCTATGGTATTGCTATCACCACTGAAAACCAGGGTTTTCACCGCCATTCGCGTCTTCAACAAGAGAGGTGTTCCAGTCTGCCAGGGGTTGTTGCAACGGGGCGTGTGGGGTCTAAGAATTTCTTTCCTGTAGGTTTCATGGTTTCTTTGTGGCGTTCTGTCCAAAGAAGTTGGTACTTCCCAAACATGTGGGTTTGTCAAAAGGATCGCTTCCCCCAAAGTTTCGACTATGTAGTCCATTAGACTATCCCCCAGACTGAGACTGCAATTTACTTCGGATTGATTACCCTCTAACTGAACTGGGATCTTTTTTGGGAAGGCCTCAACATTTCAAAAATGGGCATGCGGCATGGGTCAAAACCTATGGCTTTCCATATTATGAATACTGGATGACATCCATCACAACCCGTTTTGGTGTTTGCCTATATGGGTTGCTATGCCCATATGAAAAAGCTGTAATCAGGCTCCCCCTCATTTCCCTAAGGGTTTATGTATGATGTGTAATACACACTCCACAATGAAAGCAGCATTGGATGGCAAATGATGGCACGGCAATTTACCGGAACCACTATATCTGGGTAAAATTCATCACGACCTCACTGTTCTCCCGAACCCTGGAAATCATGGTTTTTATATGGGAAATCATCCCCTTTTATGGCCTTAAGATTCAGGTCAGTGAAACATGATAATTTACCCAGACTATATGGTATGATGTGGTATGTACCAGGTGAATTCCCCAGCAATTTCTCTGGAAAAGCAAACCAGAAACCATCGATCATGACGACAAACCCCCGGGGTGACTCAAATAAATCTTGCCATCTTCCCCTCGTCGCTCAGAACGTGCCCATCGCGTTGCGCTCAGGGCTCGGTGACTCAGTGGTTTTTCCTGGTGGTAAGTCTTCAGTTAGATCTTCAAGTGTATAAATCAGATTAAATCACTTCAACAGAAATCATGGAAAGACATTCGCTACGAAATTCGGTACTATCATTACCATGCACCAACTTACTGGTGCGAACGCAGGGAATTTTCGGGAATGATCCATAATCACTATAGTAATAATATGTAATGTCATCATCCCAGCAACCCCCAGCAACCCATCCAGCAACCCTACGTAAAACGCACCAGTAAGTAACAATGGTTAACAAATGGGTGATGAATAAATGGTTAACCACTAATAGTGGTTGATGATGGTTAATCATGATGATTAGTGGCGAGAATGGTGAACAATGGTGGTTAAATGTGGTTAATCAATCATTGTTAAACACCAATAAACCCAATAAAGGACCCAATAAAGGGGTCATGGAGGCTATGTCAAAAGCCGACCACCACCATCCACCAAACAAAAACATCCAGATTTTTCCATGGGATTTCCCTATCCCAAAAAAACCCTGTCAGGGCGGCGCGCTTCCGCTTCTGGCGCGACTTGAAGCCGCCCTTCCAGGTTGTCCAGGCGATTTACAACACATTTTCGGCCACTGGAAACCGATTGGGTCGATACTTTCCGTAGGAACCAATCTTTTGCAGTCTATATCAACCTAACCAGTGAAAAACTGGGTTTCCGCGCCTCTAGGAGCGCAAAAAGCTTACCTGCTTTTTGCTCATTCGTCTGCTCGTACTGCACTTGCAGTTGGGGTGGGGCGCATTGACGTTCAGAATAAAGTCCGTTCTTGGTTCTGCAAAGTTATCAGATTTTCTCTTGCACTTGCACACCAACTTGATGCAACAAAAATTCGGATTGATCCCAATCTGTTGCAGCCAGGGAACTTGATGATAAATCACGGAAAATCAGTCTACTCAATTTTGAGACATACCATCATTACCCTCTGGTTATTTAACATAGCCATGGAAAATGGTCCATTTATAGATGATTCTCCCATTAAAACCTCCATTTATAAGGGATTTTCCATGGCTATGTTAGTCATAACCAGAGGATAATATGGACCTCCATCAGCACATTTTGTGTCTATGTGACGTGAGAGGTATGTGTGTTGGCACCTGGACATGTGACCTGTGTGGCGTCACTGAGTCACGTTCCATGGCATCCTGCGAAACAACATTTCTTCTCTTTCTCCAGCAACTCCAGCATATCTTGTTGCATTTTGACGACTGTGTAGTTTGTAGGATTTATTGGTGGTGGTACAAATTATCTCAATCATGAATCGTTGAAAATCATCTTTGTAATCGTTGATTCTTCGGAGTCCTCGGTGTCCAATTCTGTCCAATCATGCACTGTACATAGCTGGACACCTTGGAAATCTCTGAGACGAGTCAACCAAATTTTTCGGTGAAACCTTTTAACGGGTTCCCTTTCTTAAAAAAATAGTGAAAACATATGTGGCACAGAGTTGACATATTGAATTCCGACCTTCTCTGTTGAGTGGTGTCAGGCTCAGGTGTAGAGATTCGGTTGAAGGATCAAGGTACATTTGCAGGATGCTTTTTGTTTCCGCGAAAAACACAATTAGGTCCTCTGAACAGATCCTCAAATATCCCATTCTAGAGATAGATGATGGTCTATATCTTGAGAAGCATGTGTGTTTTTTTGATAGGGAATATGTCATGTTCGCTTGATTTTCTCGTTATTTTCCCATGGATTGTCACATGAAACGCTCCATTGATAGCTGCAGGTGACCCGCTCGAGTGATGCCTTGGGAAAGTGGCGTGATGTGGATGCGGAAGGCGCTGGTGTATCACAATGTAACAATGATCTACCCTTTGCTTATTTGTTGCATAGCCGTAGCCATGGAAAATGGTCCATAGAAAAAATGGTGATTTTCCATGGCTATGTTAGTCATAACCAGAGGGTATATATAATTCTAACTATTCATGATATATATATATAAATATGTATACGTATATCATACAGAATCATATACATATTATATTTGCATTGTCATCCATTATAAAATTATAAATCATATACGATGAAATTATATAACTACAATATATATATATATATACATATGATTATATCAGAGATTATATATGTATAGATACATCATTTGTGCCTTTTCAATGATATTTGGGATCACTCTATGACCACTGCTTTGTTGCAATGGCTTGGCTTGAAGCACGCCAGCTACAAAACCTCATCCTGATGGAGAGCTTTTCTACGTCGCTCTCCAAGGAGATGGTGAACATCGGCGAAACTGAGGTTTTTTTTTGATCCGAGAAACATCCAAAAAATGGACATATGCTATAAATGTATGGAAATGTATGGAATATGAATCCCACCATTTATCCTATAAATGGCCCAGTTTTGTAGGTAAATATACTATACATGGAGCATATGGGATGGAAAATCTGAAAATTCTGAATGATGATCCGAATGATCATAAACTGAGGAATGCAATGGAGAATCTTGATTTATGATGATTCCCATTAATGCTCACCATGGTGCTGAATTTTAGGAATCCCACCATTTACCCCATAAATAAATGGCCCAGTTTTGTAGGTTTTTATATACCAGCACCATGGTGAGCTAATATGGGATTGATGTTGAAAAATTGAGGATTTTCTATGCCCAGCTTTACCTGCCATTGACATATCCCAGTTGGATTCCAGCGAACGAGGTCACCTACGAATGCGCCCTGGCTCACCACGTGGAACGGGCCTGGGGTCTCAAAACGGTCCGGTGCCCCGGCATGCCCCGGAGCTTGAAGCGATCCTTGGACCACACAGACGACTTTTGGAATTCCACTTATATGTCTGAATGATTAATTAATTATGAATGTGTATATATATATAATTATATATAATTATGTATAATTATATATATATATATATGTAAAATTATATATATAAACTATACTTGGAGGATCGTCAGTTCCTCAGTTTTGGGCAGACATATGTTTGAGAACTTCCGATGGCTACTGCAGCAATTCCCTTTGTAGCCGGACATCTGAACATGTTAATCGCAATCAGGAGGCGGGCACCTTCGACAATCGCGTTCACGGAGTCGCCAGTGTGCGCGGAGTGAAACTATGTCTAAAAACTTGGAATATTTTTTCTTTGGATCTAGTTTTTGCAAATTCTCAGCCAGTTCTTTTAGCCTCATAGCTGGCTTGGGGTGGAGTTCTTGGGAAATTTTAGCAGCATTTTCCATCATCCACAAGCGGCCAAAACGGACAGTGTAGCGTTTTTCAGACTTTGCATTTGCACAGCCTGTTCTATTGCATATCTAAGCATATCTCAAAAGCTGTATACGTATGTTTTGATGGGACAAGGTCCAACACAACATGGCAGGCTTAGCATATCTTAGCATCATATCCCTAAGATCCAGAGATAGCATGATGTGATTTGAAAATAACCAGAAGATGCCAGCAACATGTCTGTATAGTAAGGAAAAAGTGAAATACTTGACATATTGGTGGGGCAATTCTTTTCGGAAAATGTATGGGACACTGAACTCTGCACCACAAGTCCAGTACAATGAGTAGACAGGGCTTGCACCACCATTCCACAAATGATCAATTACCCTGGTTTTTCATGGGCCACCCGAATTGTGGCTTTATCCCCTATTTTGTACACCTGGCTTCCCAACCACAACCTAAGACCATACTAAGACCCCATTGAACTATAATCAGCCAGTTATCCCCAGTTGTCCCCAGTTATCGCCACTTATCCCTCTTATGACTTACAGAAGCATCACATGTCGCATCAATGCGCCGGGCGGTCCTGGTGACGGTGGGCGTCGCCGCACATCAGGCAGCCGGGCAGCCGGGCTGGGATGGGCTGGGCCTGGATGGTTTAAGATGATTCAAACACATGGTATTTGAACATACCCTCTGGAAAACCTGGTAAACGTTTACATAACTATGGAAAATCACCATTTTTAATGGGTAAATCCATGTAAATCCACTATAAACGGCCATTTTCAATAGCCATGTTAGTTTACCAGAGGGCCTCGAGGGTATATTTGAAGATGATTGAACATATTGTTACAATTGTCGACAACGAAGGGTTTACCATCAAACAGAACGCCCTCCAGATTGAACATATTTCAAGACATTTTTCAGATTATTCAAACATCAACACCTGGTATTTGAACATACTTGAAACGCCAAATTGCGGAAGCTGCCGACATTGGGATTGAACCAATCAACGTCAGTGTATGAAGCAATAAAGGATTTTCAGCAGCAAAACGACGATTTAACCAAACAGATAGGCAAAACAATCCAACAAAATTAGGGATGGTGCTGATATCATTGGTTGTATTGGTTCTTTACCGAAAATTGGTGAGAGATCGGTGCGTTGACAAGTTGAGTCAAAACAATGACAGGCCTACTTTGCTGTCCGCGCTTTCTGCACTTACATCCTGCACAAGCACCTTGGTCGAGCCGAGATCCCTTAGGAAAGAGGCCTTATAAGTTTCTCAAGATCATCATCTAAGAACCCCTTCAGGGCTTGGTTTGGATGTCCTGTTTATCCAGTTGTTTCATGTCGTTTCATGTTGTTTTAAACATCACCAATTGGATGTTGGACATTGGGCATATACCGGTGTAACAGTGGTTTATCCACAGCGCAGTTTCATCGAAGTTGGCGCGGTTCCAGAGAAGTTGTCCTGGTTGCATACAACTTGTCATCGTTTCACCCATTTTTTCGTCCGGCGGCCTGGGCGATGCTTCAATGAGACATGGACTAACCCTGCACCTGCGTAGGCAGTTTGGTTCTTTGTTAGGTCTGGCAGGAGCTGGAGGAATCAAATCCACTTGACCATGTGAATGTCTATTTTTTTGCACACCTGTTTTTGGTCAGAAATTTGAATGTTTGTTGTTTGGATTAGCTCTATTTCAGCTTAATTTTGATAAGATTTCAGCCTGAATATACGTATATATAAATATTTTTTTTAATTACACACATTTTTGTGTTATTTCCTTTTTTTTGTAAACGTCACATTTTTTTTATTGGGTAAAATTTCTTAACAATCACAATTTTGTTGGTTAACAATCCCCATCTTTCTTTTGTAAAAACTCCCTGCTTTTGTTGATTAAATCCCACTATTGGGGATTCAAAAGTGCAGCGGCTGCAGCTTTCCGCCCAAGTTGACTTCTGAGGCCTGCGGGTGTGCTGAGCCAACGCAATGACTTTATGGGGCGAGAGACAGCTGGGGCTCCCTGGATTTTCATCATCCCAACATCCCACTTTCGATCCAAGTAGCCGAAGTAGAGTAATCAGTCCAAAATATGGCCTGGAAAATTTTCCAGCTACAGTTGATTTTCCGAGCTACTATTGTTGATAGTACCTCCATTGAGTTTTTTTTTGGATGTTCAATTGCCATATTTCTCATTGGGGTAAGCAGTTTGTGGGGTTTTTGCAGCCTGAATTCCTGGTAGTTGGTCAAAAATCAGGCTACCTGAGCGAGCTGCTTGGAAGGTTAGGGCCAACAAAAGTGTGACTTCAACCAGCAAACATGGGGATTCAGCGAGCTCAAAATCTGCGGGATTGGCCTGACACTTGTGCTTTCTCTGGAACAACTGGGAGTTCGATGTAGTTTGACGTTAAAAAATTGGATTTTCTCTAGGAAAAGTAGGGATTTTCATGGATTTTCCCTCAGCTAAAACCGAAAGTTTGACCAGAAATACTCATTGTCATTGTTCATCCAGGGAGAATGCGGACATTTCAACGAGCCAATGGCTGATTCTTGTGAGAGTTGGAAACCCCACCAAAGATCCAAGACAAATTTGTGGGAAGTCTCCCAATCATTTCGAGTTTAAGTTTGCATCAGTTGAAGACATATTACACAAATGCCATGGTTTTGTGAGAGGAGTTGGCCATTCTCCAAGCCTCTTACACCGTGGGAAGCAAGGTCTATGACATCTTTGACTCGCTGATTGCGCGAGGCGCGTGGAATTTGTTTGGGACGAAATCCGGCCGACATTTCGGCCTTTTTTCCAAGAGATCCAACAGTTCACGATCGACTTCTCGGTCATGGAAGCTCCGAGTTTTGGATAGTTTTGGTACCCTTCTGGTAATTTAACATAGCTATTGAACATTGCCATTTATAGTGGATTTACCCATTAAAAATGGTGATTTTCCATAGTTGCGTTAGTTTACCAGAGGGTATATCCAACAGTATTTTCCGTACCCATACTGCCATACTGTCTTTGGAGAAAAATATGAGAAAAGCCATGGCGAAAATTGGCTCCAAAAATCATCAAAAATCCAATGTCTCAGATCCATGATCCACCATGATCCACTAATATGTTCAAAACTGTCCCAAGTTGCCACCCAAAATACACCCAGTTAATCCCAGTTACATGGTGGAGAAGCCCCCTGCTTCTTCTAGAACCATTTCTCTCTTCAGGCAAAACCTGGTTGCAAAACTATTGATATATATATATATATTTATTCATTGCTGGGTTTCATGTAAGTTTTCAGCAAAACACATCGTTTTGGGGTTGCTAAAACGAGTAAGGTACTCCATTCCATGAATCATATCATCGTATATCTCCACTATTCCCCAAGAAAATGGATGATATCATCATATATCCCGAATATTCCATGTTATATTATGTTATATGATCAATTTGGATAATGGAAACACATCCCCAATATCATCATCATCATCATCATCATCACCATCACCATCATCACCATCATCATCATCATCACCATCATCACCACCACCACCACCACCACCACCATCATCATCATCATCATCACCATCACCAACATCACCATTATCATCATCATCATCATCATCATCACCATCACCATCATCACCATCATCACCATCATCATCATCATAAATATATATACATATATCTATACACATATCATATATATATACACATGTATATGTGACTTGAGTAACCTTGGATGTACGAACCATATGCCACCTGCAGGCTGCATGGGAAACCAGAGACTTCGCCATCGCCACTGCGCATGGCTCAAGGCACGTGAGGTGCAAAAGCGAGGACGCGGCTGCTGTGGGCAGCACAGGTATCGAGAAGTGTAACAAGTTCATAAGGGCCCAGGGGGTCACGGTGAAGAGCCCTTTTAAGGGGAGATTTTCCTTTTGGGGCAGGAACCCCAAATCCAAGAAACTGGTTGGTACCGGTTTCCCTACCTTTGTGGACTCTTACCCGGGGAGCCACATTGGTAGCGGAGCCCGGAGGGCCCACGTGACTTCGTGGAAAGCCCGGGGCGCCCGCCATGTCGTCCACTGCTGAGATCTCAGATGACAAAGGGTCTCACATCTGGACCTTGCTGCCTACGTTTGACCCGGCAGTGGACAACGTCAGAGAGTACATAGAAAAGGTGAAGTTCATAGACACGATCTGCCCAAAGAAGGATCGACCAATGCTAGCACCACGGCTAGCGATGCTGTGTCGAGGGACGGCTTGGGGACAAGTGAAAAACCTCGACTCGGCCCAGTTGGTTGATCCCGAGCACGGCGTCAAAAACTTGTTGGCGGCGCTGTCTACATGGGAAGAGTCCACCGAGATGAAGACGTATGAACAATTTGAGAAAGCAGTATACAAGACAGTTCAGAAGAGCGACGAGTCCAGCATGAGTTTTGTCAACCGCTTGCAGGTTGCGATGGACGAGCTGGGTGCAAAGAGTATCAAGGAGTTCCATGCCTTCCTGCTCCTCAGACAGAGTTCATTGAACCCTGAGGACAAGAAGCGTGTCCTGACAATGACGAATGGAGACATGGACACGAAAAAGATCGAACAAGCAATGCGAACCCTGGCAACCTCAATTTTGTCATCAGGTGAGGTCAAAAGGAAGGTCTACCCAACCAACTATGTAGAACCTGAGCAGAACCTGGTGACCAATGAGCAGGAAGCCTTTTCAGCTGGAAGTGTCAATCAGTACAACAACTATGAAGAGGAAGAGATCGACCAGGAGTTTGTGGATCACCTAGCATCTCAAGGCGACTCAGATGCCTTGAATGTGGTGAGTTTTGAACGTGATCTAGAAGAGATGTTTCAAGAAGTTCCTGACCTCCACAATGCTTTGCTGAGCTACCAAGAGGCGCGAACAAAGATCCTGGAAAGGAAACGATCCCGAGGATTCTGGCCTGCGACTGGAAAAGGGAAATCAAAAGGGGCTGGGAAGTTTCATCAGTTCCGAAAAGGGTCTGTCAAGGGAAGTCTTTTGCAGCGCATCTCAAGGACATTTTGTCGAGCATGCGGAGAGAAAGGTCACTGGAAAGCAGAGTGCCCGAACAAGCCTCCTGCAGCGACGGATCAAGCAAACTTTGTGACCCACCAGAGCTTCAGATCCTATGCCCGTGATGATGAACCAGCCCATGTGATTTTCGAGGAAACGGATGAGGCCGGAAACATGTCAACCATGGGGAATAAGAAAAGGGGTAAAGGGGATAAGGATAATAAATGGGGCATATGTCAAGTTTTGTCCAAAGCATGCCACAGCATCCGATGTTTTGTGAGCCAATGCATCCGGAAGCAGCCAATCACCAAGAACCACACTGAGCATCCGAAATGTGAAAGCGAGATTCCCCATGAAGTTGCCTTCAGCCTGCACCACCTAGTTCCCCAGGTTAAACAGTTTTTTCGATTTCGTTTGAATCCCAGGACGAAGCCGTCAGTGCCTGAACATGAAGCATCCGAGTGCTTCCACAGCCGACCGAGCTTGGGAGCCATTGCAGAAGATGGTTTAGCCATACTGGACACTGGAGCCAGCCGCAGTGTCATAGGAGCTGACTTGTGGCCGGGTGTGATGAAAAGTCTGCCCAGTGAAGTGCAATCACGAGTGCAAGAACACCCCAGCAAGGTAGGATTTAGATTTGGCAATAATCAAATAACCTACAGTTTCAAACAAGTCCGAGTTCCAATCATTGCTGGCCGTACCAGAATCTGGATGGTTGTGGAAATTGTTCCTCGAGCAACTCCTTTCCTCATATCCATTCAGGCCATGAAAGCCCTAGGAGCCATGATAGATCTGTCAACAAATCAGTGTTATCTATCCAAGATTCAAAGATGGTTGAACTTACGAGAAAGTGAGAATGGTCTGTATGTTTTCAAGATGTCCGAGTTGTGCCTAGGTGTCACAGAAAATGCCATGTCAGCCAAAGAAACAGCAGCCATTCGAGTGTCCAACGTCTTGCCCCCGCCTGGTCTTGTCCGAAGTGAGTCTTTCCAGAATGTTGACTCAACGGGATGCCATGAAGCTGATCAAGTCGACGGCAGAGGCAGTGATGGAATCCCTCAGAATGCTCTTGATCATCTTGATGAACCAGATCGAGGTGAAAGCCCCCGACCAGGAGATCACTGTGCAACATGCGACCTCCCTCCAATCTCTCTTGGCCAACGTGAATGCCCAGAAGGATCGGATCGAGGAACTCTCCCAGATCCTCAAGGAAAACAGATCCCCAAAGAGGACTTCAAGTCGCGCTGGGCCAAGTCCTTCGGAGATTGGAGTCCTATCGGACCATTCATGGGAGCTGGAAGAGGAGGAGGAAATCAGGGCTGCAACAAGGACTCCACCAAAGAAGAGCCAGCCGAGATCTCAGGGAGCCTCAACCATGAGCCACCTGAATCACAACCTGATTCCGGAGAACAACCGAGAGGGTCAACTTGCGCTGACTGCTCAGGCTTTGGAGTCATGGGGCAACAAGAGAGTATCATGGGGGGAAACACACAATGGGAGACGATTCACAGAGGTGTACGAAGAACACCAAAGCTACGTCGATTGGGTCAGTGCACGAGCCAAGAATGCGACCCCGGCAATGCAAGACTTCATCACCTACTGCCAAGCTCGCAGCGACATGGAGAAGCAGGCACTGAGAGGCCGTTAGAAAGATCAGCGAATCCAGGCCCATCAATGCATCTGGAGAATGCCTATGAATTGCACATGATGAACCAATGTCGCCATCACATGCCAATTCAGAGTCATAAGCCCATAGATCTCCTAGAAGTGTATGCCAGCAGTAGTAGCCGATTAACGAATGAAGTCAATAAGAGGGGTGGGGTAGCCAAGAGATTCACCTTTGAAGATGGGGATCTAAGTACCACTGAAGGACAGATCAAGCTGTTTCGAAAGATCTTCCTGTGGAAGCCACGACACATATGGCTAGCTCCAGAGTGCGGCCCTTGGAGCCCTTGGAACCGATTGAACCAGACGAAAAGCATGGAATCCTACAGCCGCATCCGTGAAAGCCAAGCTACATCCAAAGATCAGCTTTATATGTGTGACCTGATTTGCAAGATACAATTGGATCGGGGTGACCATTTTCACCTTGAAAACCCCAAACCTTCCGGAATGTGGCAACAGGAAGAAATGCAAGAAATATGCGGTCGTACCAAGCCAGCCTTCTTCGATCAGTGTCAGTTCGGTTTAAGGCATCCATCTTTGCAAGAACCGATGCAAAAGAGCACCCGTGTACAAACCTCATCCGAGGAAATGTTTAGAAGCCTGGATAACCGACTGTGCTCCAGAGATCATGCCCATGCACATGTAGCTGGATCATGTACCGTTGATGGAAAAACTGTACAGGTGTCCCGTTTCTCAGCGTTCTATCCCAGAGTTCTTGCAAAGAAGATTGCCGAAGTGATCATGCGACCAGTGCATGAACATGTAACCGTCCCGACCATGGTCGTCCAGCAAGAATGCTTTCCCGTTCGAAAGCTGGAAGAATCCGGAAGTCCAATGGAGAGCATGGCAAAACGTTCCAGAGTCAAAGAGAACGAAACCGGCAAGAAGTCAAGCCGTAAAAGAACTCACGAAGAAGAACCACCTAAGAAAATCGAGGACATAAGATGGAAAGGGGTAATGGATAAATATCGAAAGGAACTACCTAAATCTGGGGTAACTAAATGGGATGGTCCTCATAATGCCGAAGTACAAGTTCTTCAAAGCCTATGCCCTGAAA